TTTTTTTTTTTTTTTTTTTCATTACGGAGCAAATGGAAAATCGCAGCAGCAAGTAGGAAATTGAAGGATTAAGGGATTTCGACTTATTTTCCTATGACGAGGAAGAGCGTCGATTGGTGGAAAAAGGCTCAAGTGTTGAAAAACTCGATTCCCGCGGATATTCGCGCCGCGTCACGACAGTGTGTTTTAAACTGTGCGAAACGTTGCAGCGAGCAGAAACGATCGATCCCGTTCGTTGAACGTCGATGGTAAACTGGCACCGATGCAACCTAATTTTCGTTCGTGTTCGCACTACCCGCCGCACGCTTGCGTTGAGTTTAAAAAAATAACGAGCCTCTAGCTTCGAACTTGCTCGCTGGTGTTACCGCTCAAACGACAGTAAACTCTTCGAAAGAGTTGGGAAAGCTTTCGTCGCGGATGAAACCGAGACTGCTGCGACTGAACATGGCCGTTTAATTTTGTAAAAGTTATCTGCCACGAGGCAGACGAGGCAGACGTCCACGCGATCCATCTTTCAGCACGATCTTTCTAGAAATTTTCATACCACACCGGTCCCTTCTTTTCACTCGATCGTCTTCTTTATCGCAGGGAATTACTGGATACTTCGCATCATGTGGCCACCGTACACGTTCTTACTGCACACTCCAAACGACCACTGTCACAAGACTCTCTATCTGTTCTCTTTGGTACATTTGGCCGTGATGTACGTCACCTTTGGGATCACGCTGCTCGTGATAACCGTGCTGGCGTCCTTCAGAATCCTGGCATGTCCGTTACCAGAAAGGTAAGCCATGGTCAATCGCGTGGAACCGCCGATCACAACAACGCACAAATTTCTCGTCAGCAGCTAGATCGGATCCACAACGTACCGTGGTGGATCATCAAACTAGTAGAATTTGGTTAGTGAGATTTTGCTGCTCGCTGACGCGACACATCACAGTGTTCTCCACTTTCCGCTGTGAATTTCCGCGCGCGCGAAACGCATTCAACATGCAAAATCGACGCATCGAAACCGCAAGCTATCCTCGCTTGTGTATGTTCGTTGCAGTGGCAAACAGATTCGCGACGAGAGAGAAAGCAAGTCTGTTGGAAAAGGCAGCACGACAGATTAGAAGTAGAAGGTATCGGTCGCTCCCTCTGTTTTCCGTGAAATGCGGTTGATAGGATGCTTTCAGCAGAACGAAGAGATTATAAAGCTCCGCTACTTTACCAATATTGATACTCTCTTTGTTATACAGAAAGCGTCGCTGTTCCTCGCAGCCACGGCAGCCCACTGAAATGCATAATCGAATTAAGCGTAAACAGAGAGGCCGATATCGCGCCCGTACCTATCCGATTTACGTCCGGGGTTAACCGAAAATTCGATTGAAATTAATCGAAAACCAGAACGCGATCCACGCGATCCCCCATCCCTTTCCTCGTCGCCTCGTTGCCTCGCGAGTCAAACTTTCGACAGCACCCCTCCCTCCCTTCTCCTGCCCGTTCGAACAATCTGGATCGTTACAATCTGCCTAGCAAGACGTCGAACTTCTTTGCCCCGTGTTGGTGCTACGTATTCTAGGGTATTGGGTCAGCGACGGTGGAATCGGGCGCGCGGGCATTCCGCATGCGACGCGAGCGAAAGCCAAATATTCTATACCCGGAAAGCAATCAGCCGCTGTACGTACACATGCATCTATACACGCTAGCGTAGTGGATGTACGTGCAAAATAGTAGGTCAACGAATTTGGTCGCGTGTCGGCGCGGGAGCGGTCATAAATATAGCCGGCCGAAGAGGAGGCCAGAAGCGAAAGCAGAAGCGAGCGGGCTATATCGTTTTCGAATTGCGTGTCGCGGAAAAACAGCCCGCGATTTTTTCCTCCTCTTTTTCTTTTCTCTTCTTTTCCCCCTTTTTGCTCTTCTTTTCGTTTGCTTCTGTCTTCTGTGTTAAACGCGGTCTCGCGTGACCGCAGAGATCGAATCGGAGAAAGAATTGCGCGACACGCACGCTGAGCATTGCGCGCCGGCTGACCGGGTCGCCGCTTTTTCTCACCGATCGATCTGAACGCGGCGCGGCAATACGTTTCGGAAAGCGTTACGCTTTGGATTTTCAGCTCGGATTTTCACACCGGGGCAGAGGGGCGTAAGGGGAGAATTCACGAATGATTCATTGCCTACAAGTAGAACTGCATTTATTCGAGTCCGCGTCCGGTCGACGGTCGCTTGCTCGAGAAGACGCAAAGTTATTATTTCGTTGGATCGTATTGGTTGTTGTAATTTCGTGGTGTTGGGAATTTTAAGACACGAAAGTATAAATTCCTGCTATTAAAAAGAGGGACGAAAGCGTTCGAGAAATGTAGTTTCATTCACGATACGTTGTACTACTATGTACAGAGTGAATGAAAAAAATTCGTAATTTCTAAGGTACTAAATAGTACTCGCCGAACCGAAAAAAAGTCCTAATAAAAATTAACAGTTTCAAAGTTATTAACGATTTTTTGTTCCGGCTAAAATCAGCTTGTGAAAAAAGTTGGAACATATGTCAAGCGTGCATAGAAGGACAGGTAGGAAATCAGAAAAAGAAAAAATTATAAGATAAGCCTACCACTATTTACATGCAAAGTATGGTAGTTCTCGAAGCGAAGAAATTCATTTCTTCGACCGAAACCAAAACGTAAAAATCGTTTATAATTTTGAAACTATTAATTTTTCGATCCATGTTTATCAAGACTTTTTTTCATATCTCGGCAAGCGCTATCTTCTCTCACCAAGAAATTATGAATCGTCTCTTTCGGAACTTATTGTTAGTCAAAAATGAAAATAACAACGATATCCACGACGCTGGTAGACCGCTGTAGAGTAAAAGTCGGAGAAGAGCTATTCGATCGAGTGACCCATCTTGTAGATATCAAATAATGTTGCGCGAGAGAGGTCGACGTCGCGTGATCTACGGCACATTTACGATATTAACCCATCGCGATAAAAGAGTACAGTCCATCCAACGAGGACAGTGTCTTCGGAATGTGTACGAGTTCGAATAATCTCCAATCCACTTGGAGTGTTCGCAGCGTTTTTATAGATCTGTAAAAATTTTCTTAAAAAAGTTCCTTATTAAAATAGTATCATTATCTCGGCGCTGAGCTGAATCGAATGCTTCGCCACTTTCGACTACGTCGACTCGTATCTTGACCTCTTTTCTTTCAGATACAGATAACCACAACGGTTCATTCACGTAAAGGAAGTAATACCAGAGAAACAACGGATGGTAGTTGGGAATATCCAAGTTGTCCAAGGGCGCGTTTTGAAGTCTGTCGTGAAACGAAACGAGGATTGTGTCGGGCATCGCGGCAACGTCTCCAACGATAAAGTTATCCCTGCCGAATCGGCACCAATCTCGGCTGGTAATCTCGGATTCTCGAGTTGCAAAAACGGGAAAGGGGTGCATTTCCAGTTGAACCACGACGTTGAAGCATCGAGAGCAAACGACCACAGGAACAGGCAATTCGTGACTTAACGAACTCCGCGAGAATTGAAATTCATTGTTGGGGATCGTTGCATGCACGACGTACGGATCGTGTCGGATCGAACACCGAATCTGGGAGAACGTTATCAAATCACCAGAAGGGAAAAAAACGTGCACGCGAGAGAGAGAAAGATGTGCTCTGGCCGGCGACTATGTACCTGCTCTAAACAAAAGCATCGGACAAAGGAAGACTGATTTCCAGCAAATTGAAAATTCCCACGTCAGGATGAAACATTCGCTTTCCGCGAAACAGGGAGAATAATCGGGATGCCAGTTACTATTAATATAATTGCACGTGGGTAGTGCAACTTTGAGTTACCGGAATCCATTTACGAGGAGTTCATGGCCCGGCTTCGTAGGATAGGAAGAAACCAAGGCGAAAATATCTGGAAATAGAAAATAAAATAAATAGAAGGTCGTGGGATGCGAAGAAACGGGATCTGGATCAATTTCGAACGGACGGCAAATAACATTGGATCATTGTTATCACGAAGCACGTATGTACGTAACAGGCTACCGCTCGATTTAACGCTGGATCTCTAATCGAATTCAACGACGCAGCGGTTCCGCGTTTCTGCAACAGAACGAGGCAACACAGCCCTTGAAGAGAAGTCAGCGAACAAAATTCCCTGCCTAGACTATCCCTGCCTATATCTCGACGACGACGAGTTATAAAATTCAAATCATCGAAGAGGATCTTACATCTTTCACGGTGGATTTCAGCAAGAAATTCAAGCGTTTCGTCAGAGAGCCACCAACCAACGAGCTTTACGATCATTCGCTGATTGCCGATATTTGGTGATATTTGCCAAAGAAGTCGAAGGTAAGCGACACGCTTTTGTTGTTGCCTTTTTCTCCTTTTTCTTTCTTCGAATACCTTCGACGAGATCTCGAAAGTTCGCCATCTCGATGAAGTCGTTCGAATCAGACAGACATCAATTTTGTCAATCAATGCTAATCACATTGTGACGTTCTTGCTGATACTTTTTTTTTTTTTGTTCGGATCCGTTCAGATGACTTTCCCCATAATATATTGATAACGCGTTTTATCACGTGAAAATCCGTACAAGAGAAATTCGTTGTACATACTACTTTTTTATAAGTTTTTACCGGCTGTTATGGGATTCCAATTCATTCTGCACGTCGTTCTATGAAATCGTGCCGCGCAGCAGTTAATTCATTTAACTGTTAACTGGTTTATTACGCTAACCGATGTTTCTCTTTACTTTCATTCGTTTCCCATATTTGTTTTTTTCTTTTTTTTTCTTTTTTTTTTCGTTTAATCGCAATCGTTTGTTTTAACCATTGTTTTCCACTATTGTGTACATTTCGCGTTTCACGTTAAAATAAACATACGTACGTATATACGTAACCACGGATTTGTTCTGTTGCAACAAAAATCCCCGATAGATTTTCGTTCTCGCGCGCGGTTAACAGTTAAACTCTAATTGCCACGATATGGAAAAGCTCGCCAGAGTCGCAAACGGCAAAGCAACAAAAATCATCGTGTTCGATGTTTCGTCGATCTATGTCCGTCATTCTCACAGCTCGAGTCGACGAAAGTCGTCGCAGCGTCGAACAATGTAATGAAAAAAACAAAAAAAAAAAAAAAAAAAAACAAAAAAAAAACAAAAAATGATGTATTCCGTTTCTGTGTCTGTTTTTAACCACTACTAAGACTCTAGTATATCGCTACAACTTGCTAAAATGATAAAGCCTAATGAAAAGCACGTTGTCTGTAAAACTACTTTAAGAATGATGTATCGTTCGATGTAGTGTCGCGAGGTAACGCCTGAGGCATCCGTGAATTGAGAATGTTTGCCCTCCTATGTAAAGCCTTTCTAAAGCTCGTTTGTCTAATGCGCATCGATGATTATCGGCTATGACCATGGAAATGAAAAGCAAGCGAAAGAAAACAAGGTTCTCTCGCTCGCGAAGGGACGAAATGTATAAATGTCAATTAAATCATTAGAAACTTCATTCTGTCGCTGTGGAACGTTAACAGTAGTCGATGACACTTTGATTGTGTATATGTACATATATATAAATGCCTATATATATAAT